CTGCCTTTTTAGAGAACGCCGATCAATCATCCCAACGTGATTATCGGCCGATAGCGATCGGTAGCCGATCAATCGGAGCACCCTTACTTGATACTGTACTTGATCTGGTGTAGTTATAAAATCTACCAGCAGGGGCTAATTGCACCACGCTAAGAGCCAAGCTTTGACAAATATGATGTCAACTATTTTTTATTTGGACAAAGAAGGTAATTAAACAAATGCAAGCGTTAAAGTGTAGGTGGTTATGTGCACGTTAACCTTGCAGAGTGAAATATTCTGATGATATCATAGTTTTTATAATTCAATTCAGTTTGGGGCCATATTTCATCTTAACATCAACAGAACATTCTTCCAGAACAGTTACATCTCTAACTTTATGACCTGCATAGTGTATCACTTCAAGCCCTGTATCTGAAGAAAAGAGACCAGCTGTCAGATTAAATTTGATAATCAGCTCTTGCAATGTGGTTTTCACGCCTCCATTATTCCAGCGTGCGTTGCAGAATCTCCCCCTGCAGCTACTGACTAACAAATCAGAAAGTGCTTGATTGCTGTGCATTAATATGGAGTCGCATCTATTTAAGTAGAAGAGGAGGGAAACATTCCATCTAATCAACAGTAAGAGATGATCGTATTGCTCTATGAATTTATATAAAGAGATTTTACACTGATGCAATGGCCCACATAGGACAAAAAATGACAAATAAATATTATCTCAATTGTTTCTTCTAGACAGCACTGAGTTTAATTGATGATCAAATGGAGTTTCCCAACAAATTATTTCCCAACATATTCTTCCAAGACCAAATTGTCAGAGCTATTAATGATATAAATGCCAATTTTACAGTTCTTACTGTACAACAAAAGTATCATTTGTATCTATGGAAAGGAAATAGTGACAAGCTTGACAAGTAGCACAATTAACAACAACACTCATTTAATTACAGTTTTCAATAGTATAACAGTAGCTCAACTGATTTCAAAATATTGTTGCTTTTCCAGTAAGAACTTACTTTTTCCAACAACTACTATTTTTGCCACTGTTTAACAGTCAAGTGCATTGAACATATTTGTTTTTTGTCTTGTTCTGAAAATAAACCTCACTAAATTTTGTTAGATTCATGCTTTAAAAAATATAAAAATGACAATGGATAAGAAAATATGTAACTCATATTGTGTTATCTCAATATTGTGTGAAAAATAACGTATAATAATTTTATGTACAGCATTTTTGTGATTTTGTTTTCAAGTTAATATATTTAACTAACTTAATAATTAAGAAAATTAAGAATATTACCATTTTTTTTAAAGCAGCATCGACAATAAATATCTGAGACAAAGTTTGAAAAAAAAAAAAACACTTTGAAAAGATCAACATTTTCTCAAGAAAAAAAATCACATTTAAATTGGCCGTTTATTAACAAGACCCCCAAAACAGCTAGAACTTCAAGGCATTTCTGCTAGTTTTTAATTATAATTATAATTTTTTTTTTTTAAGTTGCCAGATTTTCATCTGCTGCCATATCTCTCCCTCTTTCTCCCAACCTTACCCAGCCCCTCTCTCTCATGACTAACTAATGAGTCCTGGCATTGCTGTTGTCCCTGTGGTGTTATTGGGCTGATCTGTGCTCTCTTAAGGGTGTGCTGAGAGGTTGACTCTCTAAAGCAGCAGGAGGCCCACACTTCTCTTAAACAGCAGGGCTAAAGAGGTTTGTTTACTGGGTAACACCTTGGCCTGACCTCCCAGAGCCGCTGGGAGTTACTCTGTGATTAGTTCTGTGCTAGCCTGGAGCCGAAGAACCGGCGTCAGGTGAAAAGCCACTCTCTCCCCACCGCAGGGTGAATGATTGGGCAACTCGCGCTGTAATCAATCACCCTTTCTACCTCCGACATACACACATCCACCGGGAGAAGGATGGGGCCTCCTAAACTTGTTGCTATCTTTGTCGCTGTGCCTGAAAAGCTGCATGATTTTATTTAGAGTCGGCCTTTGACTCGATAACAGGAGATTAATTGTCGCTGTTGCTTCGCTTTGTCCCCAATGGGTCTTTGTGGCTTTCGGCGCACAGAGAAAGGATATACTCAGGTCTGTGTGTGTATGTGCTCAAGCATGATTTGCTCTTTTCACTCCTGGTCCGCTACTGTTTGCCACTCGGCCCCTGTGGACGGGGGCTCATTATTGCGATGTGTATTCACATCTTCCACCTTTTGCCCAGGGTTCTCCTTCTCTTTCACTTTGCTGCTTTCTCCTTACAATGAGATTTCTGTGACAAGCCTAACACCTTCTTCTCTGGCATCCCTGTTGGCCTGAAACTGGGCTTCACTGACCTATCTCTGCCCTCCCATCAAGACAAGAGACTTCAGAAAGAAAAATCACAAAA